ATGTTCAGGAAAAGAGGGCCAAAGATGAATATTGAAAAATAGCGGGGTTATCAAATTTTTGTTCAAAGTGGCTAACCTCATAAAAGGGGGAAAAAAAAAATATCAAATTCAGCAAATATATAATTAAAGAGAAATGAGAGGAAAAAAAACAAAGAAAAAAAAACAAAGAAACGGAGGAGAGAGAGATGCAAAAACACAAAGAGAAAAGAGAAAAGGGAAAAAAAGAAAAGAGAAACTAAGAAAAAAAGAAGAAAGTGAAGTAGAGGATGAAAAGAAGAGAACGACAAAGAAAAGAACGAAGAGGATGAGAAGAAGAGAAAAAGATAGATGAAGAAAAGAAGAGAAATAGAGCTTCAGTAGGGGCCTTCAAATGCTTCGACAGCTTCGCCTAGGGTCTACAAAGCGAGCAACTTCTTCTCCCTTCTCTCTCTCTCTCTCTCTCTCTGTGTGCAGTGTCCCAAACATACTGCAAACATGTCCCTCAGGTGTCTGAGCGTGTCCGCAAAGTGTCCGGCTAGAAAAAAAAAAAAAAAATTTCCGAACACCTTAGAGATAGTGTTCGACATATGTTCATTGCGTGTCTGTGTTTGACACATGGTAGACACCCATACGTTGCCTCCGGAGGTGTCTGTGCTTCATTGGATGTGAGTTCAATTTTTTAGAGAATGAAAATGGTCAAGTTTAATTCACAAGATAAGGAGTGAAAGGGAAAGTATGTGTTTTGTTAGTGATGTGATTATGCGTTGAAATCTAATTATGTGAGGTTTTCCGTGCTATTTTGTGTAGTGTATATATTGCTATTGTCTTGTACACTCACACATGCCATTGTGTTGGTATGATTTTGACTTGGCAACATGGAAATCAATTAACCAATCCAAATCAAGCCTAGCCTTAAGTCCTATCAAATGGGATCGGCTACATGAATCCTTCTTCTCCACTCGACTCTATCAAAGGCCATTTGGTTAGACAAATTAAGGAGATTCATCTTTCTATTTACTACACTAGCCCACGTCAATTTAGGTTTGTCCCTTCGCCTAACACTTTCCTCTGCCGTCACTGTATTGTATCTCTTCACTACTGCCTCTGTTGATCTTCGTTGTATATGACCAAACCATCTCAATCTATTATTTCTCAGCTTATCTTTTATCAGTGCTATTCCTGCCCATTTACGAATATACTTACTCTAACTCGGTTTTTTCTAGTCTTGTCATACATCCACCTTAGCATCTCATCTCAGCAAAACACTCATCTTATTTATATGTTATTTCTTAGTTGCCCAACATTCCGTTCCATACAACATTGCTAGTCTAATAGCCGTTCTATAGAACTTTCCTTTTAATTTAGTGGGTACTCGTATATCACATAATACTTTAGACACAATCTTCCACTTAAGCCACTTCATCTTAATTCTATGGACCACATCTATTCCAATCTCCCCAGTTGTTGTGATAATTGATCCTAAATAACGAAAAGTTTACTCTTAAATAGTTTTTGGTTTTCAATCTTCACTTCTTCTCTGTTTCCATTGTTACTATTACTAAAATTACACTCTATGTATTCTGTCTTATTTTTGCTTATCCTAAATGCTTTAGATTCAAGTTCTTCTCTCAAAGTCTCCAACTTAATGTTAACTTATTCTCTAGTCTCATCCACTAATATGATATTATCCGCAAAAAGCATACACCATGACATATCATCCTGAATATTTCTTTTCAACTCATTCATAACTAAAGCAAAAAGATAAGGACTTAAGGTTGATCTTTGGTGTAACCCCACAGTAATTGAAAATTCACTTGCCTTTTCAGCCGGCGATCCAATAGTGGTCACCACACCTTCGTATGTATCCCTAATCACATCAATGTAGCCTTTTGTCACCCTTTGCTTCTCTAACATCCACCAGATTATATCTGGAGGCATTCTATCATATCCTTTCACAAGATCGCTAAAAATTATATGAATGTCTCTTTTCTTCTGTTTATACTTTTTTATTACTCTCCTCGAAAGATAGATCGCTTCCATTGTTGACTTACCGGACATAAATCCAAATTGATTTTTTGACACATCTGTTATATCTTGCACTCAACGTTCCATCACTCTCTCCTACACTTTCATTATATGACACATTAGCTTGATTCCTCTTTAGTTGTTGCAATTCTGTACATCTCCTTTATTCTTATAGATTGACACTAAAATACTCTTCCTCCACTCTTTTGGCATTTTCCTAGTCAACAAAATCTTGCTAATTAACCTAGTCAACTAAGCAACCCCCTTCTTATCCAAACAGCTTCAATAGGGATATCCTAAAGTCTTATTCAATCTCTACTTCAAAGTTCCTAATCTTGCGATAGAACTTGTAGTCTTGGTTTTCCTTAATATTGGCTATTTTCTCCCCTTTTGACCTTCCTTCATGTTTTTCATTTAACAACTTTGCAAAATAGTTCTTCCATCTCTCCATAATCTCTTCATCCTTCATCAACACCTTAGAGTCCTCACTCTTAACCTAATTAAAATCTCTTATTTTCCTCTCTTATCTTAGCAAGTTTGCATATTCTCTTCTCTCCCTCCTTCCTTACTATTTAGTTTAGTGTGTAGGTCACCATATGCTTTTGACTTAGCCTCTCTCACTACTTTTTGATCTCTTTATTAGCCAATATGTAGCTCTGAAGGTTTTCCTTAGTTCTATCATTCTACCACTTTTTAAAGCACTCATTTTTCGTCTTTACGACCTCTTGAACCTCATCCCTCCACCACCAAGTTTCCTTAGAGTTGGGTCTCTTTCCTTTCGACTCTTCAAGGACTTCCCTTGAGATTCTTCTCATACAATTGGCCATCAAATTTCGCATAGTGCTAGCATCATCTTCCAAGTCCGAAATACTTTCTTCATCCATTCTATTCTTAAATATTTCTAGTTTATCTCCTTTTAGGTCCCACTATCTCCTCCTATGGTGCCCACTATCCTTCCTAGCTTGGTGTTTCCCTTTAAAGCATAAATCTAGTATCAAAATCTTATGTTGAGACGTCAGGCTCTATCTAGGAATCACCTTACAGTCGCTGCATTTTTAAACAGTCTACTTTTCTTACTAGAAAGTAATTTATTTGGCTTTTAATTGACCCACTCTTAAAGGTTATCAAATGCTCTCTCTCTCTCTCTCTCTCTTCCAAATCTAGTATCAAAATCTTATGTTGAGACGTCAGGCTCTATCTAGGAATCACCTTACAGTCGCTGCATTTTTAAACAGTCTACTTTTCTTACTAGAAAGTAATTTATTTGGCTTTTAATTGACCCACTCTTAAAGGTTATCAAATGCTCTCTCTCTCTCTTCCTCTCTCCCTCTCTCTTTCTCTCTCTCTCTCTCTCTCTCTCTCTCTCTCTCTCTCTCGCGTCTTATACATAATATTGGCCACCACCAGGTTAGAAGCCAATGCAAAATCTAAAATACTCTCTCCAGCCTCATTTCTATTATCAAAACCATACCCACCATGCACCCTCTCATAATCTAGTTTATCTATTCCTATATGGCCATTGAAATCTCCACCTATAATAAGGTTCTCTCTTATGAGTATCTCGTGTAATACCTCATTCATTTGGTCCCAAAAAGCTCTTAGTCTGATTATCTAATCCTACTTGGGGGTGTGTTTACTATATTCTCTCCAATAACTAGTTTAACTAACATTATCCTATCACCTTTCCTAATGACCACAACTACATTTTCTACAAGACCTTTGGAAATCAAGTATGATAAGAAAAATGAAATGAGGAAAAAAATAGGATTACAAAGAGATCAAATTGGGATAAAAATGATGTTCCATCAATATGTACATATTCTTGATACATTGTTGGTAATTATTATGCGTCCGCCTATATTTGGTTTATTCCGTCTATATTTGGTTTATTTGGCGGCACTTGGAATCGTACAAATTGTATCTGATAAATTGCAGACATTAATTGAATGTGATATATATACTCTGTTGTGCATATTTTATTTTACTTGTGATAGAATTGTTAATCAATGAGTTGCTAGTATGCTTATGATTCTATGTCATGCTTTGTGTTGCTTCTCTTGTACTGTACACTGCACTTTACATCTATGCAAACACTTGGTTAGAAACTGAGATTGAGTTAGACAAAGACACTTGGTGTTTATCTCTCTTTTTGTGACGCTTTGATTTGTGATGTAAACTTTATTTATTTATTTATTTTTGAAGATTCTTGATTTTTATTGTGAATGAGGTGTAGATGTTTTGACGTGTCCATTGGTCTGTACCAAATTTGGTTCCCTTTATCATTGAACATTGGAATTTACATTTTAATCTGGTACTGAAAAAAAAAAAAAGAAAAAGAGAATATTTTTCTTGACCTCATTTTGGGTTGTTGGACCTAGGAAACATGAATGTGGATACGATATCATATGATACCAATACGGCAATATGAGAAAACCTAAAAAAATAGGATAGGGTACATGGGGATACATTTGTAAACAAATATATATATTTTTATAATTTTTTATCATGTAGTATGCATAAAAATAAAACTAAAATGAGAGTTCATTTATTCATTTCATATCAAATATTGATTCGGTACATGCCAAATCCAAAAGCAAGTTAAAAAAAAATTATATTAAGCTAAGAATATTGAATATCAACTCCTGCTTGTTAATCTTCTTCAGAGAGAGGTAGATATATAAAGTTATTGGGAGGGGTAAGAGTGGATACAGACCTAGTCTTTTCATTATTATGCAAAGTACCTTCTCTCAGACTCAAACCTGCATTCTCACGTTCGTCAACCCAAGCTTTTATGATTGCACCAAGCAATGCCACTTGCAGATGAATTTTACATATTTTAGAAAGTTAAAAAGAGAGAAAAAAACAGAGTTATATTTATAGTATTTTCTTCAATTACTGAAGATAATCTGTTGTCATTATAAATTGTTAAGTATGATTTGTGTTATGCTTTTACTTATTTGCTTTGTGCTTTAATTACATTATTGTTAATTTTGCAGCTTAAAAAGTTTCGTGATGAACTCAAGAACCGTTCACGGGTTCTGAAAAAGCTTGGCCATATTGATACTGACGGTGTTGTCCAGTTGAAAGGACGGGCAGCCTGCTTGATTGACACAGGAGATGAACTCCTTGTTACGGAATTGATGTTCAATGGTGAATTTTTTAACATTAATGGCTTTGTGTTGCAAATATAATGTCAATTATGGTGGAAATCTGCATAACTAAAGATAGTATTATGAGATGATCAACCCTGACTGGGCTAACCCCATCGTGTGAAGAGTTTGATGTGCCATTGAATGTTCATTAAACAATTCAAAAATTACTTTTACATGCTAGTAATAAAATTTGTACTTCATGTTTTTCAGCATAATCTAGTGTTATATTTATACAAGTTAAATGTGCCATTGAATGTTAATTAAACAATTCAAAAATTACTTTTACATGCTAGTCATAAAATTTGTACTTCATGTTTTTCAGCATAATCTAGCGTTATATTTATACAAGTTAAACACTTTATGCAAGCGTTGGTGCTATAAAATTGAATGTTGTATTAAGCTATTGCTAATTAAACCTTTGGGTCCTTTAGATAATTGTTGGCGCTGGATTGGACTTAAAAGGCATGTGCTTTTTGAGCTGAGTTTTTTTAGCTCCATTTCTGCCTGTTGGTCACATTAGCGTAACAGTCCAGTTGTATGACAGGCTGACTTCAGGCAACTTTAGTTATTATAAAACAAAAAAATTAGGTCATCTTTCCTTTATGTACAGATTCTGACTGATTTTATGATTAGGTACCTTCAATGATCTTGATCATCATCAAATTGCAGCCCTTGTAAGTTGCTTCATTCCGGGAGACAGATCAAGTGAGCAGATACAGTTACGAGCAGAACTTGCTAAACCATTGCAACAACTGCAAGACAGTGCCAGAAGAATAGCAGATGTATGTTAAATTTTTGCCATCTTTGTTCATATTTGGAGATAACCATAAATAACTATTAAATTGATCCTAATGTTGTCGCAGATACAACATGAATGCAAATTGGAAATAAATGTGGATGAGTATGTGGAGGCAGCCGTTAGACCATTCTTGATGGATGTCATTTACTGTTGGTCAAAGGTCAATTTGTTTTTTCACTCTTTACCTCAGTGATATCTTGAATTTTTTTAATTTAATTCAATTTTTTATTGTAATTTCACTTAGTAGCTAATCAGTGATGGAGCCAAATTTTTACTATTGACTGGGTCAATTGACAACTAATTAATCTTGTCAACCCTCAATTTAATGGAAACTGTAATAAATCAATTTAATTCTATCAATAAACAACTAATAATAATTATGATAAAAGAAAATTTTCAAATATTTGAATCTAAAACTAGAAATCTTTTAATTCACCAAACAAGCTTTGTGTCCCGAACAAGTGGGATCAGCTCGGCTTGGCTCGGCTATATGAATATTTTTTCTTCATTATACTCTTTCAAAGGTTATATACTTAGTTAAATTAAATGAATTTGTATAATTTTTTTACTGCCGCATCCTATGTCAATTTAGGCCTTCTCCTCCCCCTAACATTTTCATTTATGGTGATCGTATAACTTTTCTTTATTGGCAAATCTATAAGTCTTCGTTGTACATAACCTACCACATCCCATTTTAGGTTAGGCCTTCTTCCCTTAACATTTTCATTTATGTTTATCATATCACTTTTCTTTATTGTTGAATCTATAAGTGTTCGTTGTACATGCCCTAACCATCTTAGCTTGTTCTCTATCAACTTATCTTCAATTAGGGCAACTTCTACCATTTCACTATTATATTCTTGGGTAAACTACACTTTGTATCCCTGCACTTTGCCCCAAATCTCATTTTGGTCAATACACATGAAATCGTGCAGTCAATTGTGTACTTCTGATCAAATCCCACTTTGGTCCCTACACATGAAATGGTGACAATCAACTCTCTGTACTTTTGGTCAAATCCCACTTTTGTCTTTACACAAGTGTCATTGTCCCCCTTTTGCTACTCCATTGTTTAAATTTTTAGTAGAATCCAGCCATGTGGCAACAATGTGACTACAAAATAAGGGTAATAGAGGAAAATCATCCTCATTTCCCACCAACAAACACTTTGTTCTACGTGATAAGCACATGAGAGTTATATAATACGTTATATATATGTTTGTATGCTGAAAGGTTGAGTTGTTTAAATCTTGAAAATCGATTCTTAATTAATTAAAATAAAAAGTGTAGTTCTTTTCAATCTAAATTTATTGAAAGCATTATAAAATGGAAAAAAAAAAAAAAAAAAAACTTTGACGTTCAAGTAAAAAAGAGCTTCAGGTTTTGATTCCACTGCTAACCTTATAACATGGGTTTTGTATCACTTTTGGATATTAATTAATTATCATGACCATGACCCATTGGTGGCTACAAGCCTTATGGAATCATTAAAAGAATTCATGTATTGAAAATCAGCCACGACCCATCTTCGATTTGCAAGTATCGTCTATGTTAAATCTACGGTCATAGACACGACTGGTCTTCTCTAGGCATGAATCGTCTCACCAATCAAAACATGTACAAATATTACTATTGGATAACCGTATTGGATAACCATTGTTTTTAAGATCATAGAAATTAAGCACAACTATTAAATGAAAACATTGAAAACTAATTTGGTAAAACAAATTTCAAGGTTATACAATTGTCGTGACTAAATAATCAATCCCAAATATACAATACAAAATTCTCGATGTTACTTGAGTAAGGTTTCATCTAAATCCTAAGCAGGAAGATTAACTGCTCACGGTTCATGTGGAATCCTCTATCTTCGATGAGAACTCTAGGGATTTGCCTTGAATAGCTATCCTCTTTGCCTCTTGAGCCACTTTCTTGGGTTGAAGACCCCTTATTTAAAGTTTGGAATCTTTATTAAGTAAAAAAATGCGCTTTTCGAGGTGATTCTGCATGTGTGGCCCAATTCCTCAGTGCATGCGAATTTTGGCAGCAATGAATTATTGTAGGTCATTTTTGATCTAGCAAACGTTTGAATTAGAAACTTTGTAATTTTACACAAAGTTGTAACCCTTTGTCTTCTTCTAACGCCGCTTGAATCACCTCAATCCGATATAGGATGAGAGAGATACGTCGAAATTACTAAAGGTCGTGCAGAGTGGCTGCTATAGCAGTGCTGCATCAAATCCAATAGTTTCTTCTCCAAACCTTATGGATTTGTGTGTTCTTTATTCTATTCACTTCTAGTCTATAAGGCTTAGCTCCTGGGCTCAAATTGAAGTCTTCCAAGTATCTATTTAAGCTTGCAAAATCCTCCTAATTACGCCATGTTAGTGTAGGGGCTCGATCTTCTTGAAAACACATGAAACAACACAAACCATCAACTAACCTTGAGTTATGAACTGTAAAGTGTAGTTTGGAGGGCCTAAATGTGTAACATTTCGGTTCCTATCATGGATGTGTTGTTTCATAGTTGTCTAACATTCTGTCCCGTGAAGCATCGCTGCCTTGTAGTTCTGTAAAAAATTTCTTTCAATTTCATTGGTATTCATAAAATTTGTGGCTTTCCTCTCTTGCTGCCATTTTCTGCTCACACATTTAATCCATCCTACTTTGGGTGATATGAATCTCAAGATCTGGAATGTGTGTTACAATTCTAAAATGTAACTGTTTGATAAATCTTTTTGGACATTTAATTTAATTTGATCTTTTCTTTTTGTGTCAATGTGTCAATAATGATGGGTTGAATTTTGACAATGCCATATTACATCTGGATGACTTTGCAAGGTAGGAATATCTGGTGGATTATTTTCTCTGGCATGGCTATTAATGTTTAAATGGTGTGAAAATGCAACTGAGAACCTAGATGTAGTGATTGTATCTTGTCAATCCGTTTTGATTTGGTTGAGAGAAAATTAGAACTGTCTAATTATGCTCCATACAAGCGACCTAAGGCCTCGTTTGGGAACAGGCTAATTTAGTAACTTTTTGGCTATTTGGCTAAAAAGGTAGGTAAAAAAAACTTGTATGTTTGGGATGACTTTTTGGCTAATTACGAAAAGATGTGCAAAAAGTAGAGAGAAAAGAGAATCTTTGACTTTTTGGTATGAGTTGTTGGCTTTTTGGCTAATTTAGTAACTTTTTGGCTAATTGGCTAAAAAAGTAAGTCCCCAAATGGGGCCTAGCCATATAGTCCTTGTTCCTATACGCATTGCACCACAATTAACCGCGAAGTCATCCATAATTTATGTTTCTTTTTAATTTGTATTTTAATTTGATCTTTTCTTTTTGTGTCAATGTGTCAATAATGATGGGTTGAATTTTGACAATGCCATATTACATCTGGATGACTTTGCAAGGTAGGAATATCTGGTGGATTATTTTCTCTGGCATGGCTATTAATGTTTAAATGGTGTGAAAATGCAACTGAGAACCTAGATGTAGTGATTGTATCTTGTCAATCCGTTTCGATTTGGTTGAGAGAAAATTAGAACTGTCTAATTATGCTCCATACAAGTGACCTAAATAGCCATATAGTCCCTGTACCTATACGCATTGCACCACAATTAACCGCGAAGTCATCCATAATTTATGTTTCTTTTTAATTTGTATATTTTCTTTAAGTTAAAAGTTGGAAATAGTTTTGGATCTCATTGAGATGCCTGCTGTTTAGCTGATCTGGTTAATTTATTGACAATGGGTGGGTGTTTTTTTTAGATCATCAATGACGAAAATTTAATTACTAAAAGTGAAAAAATACAGTTAGGGGGAGAACCAGAGATTAAAAAAAATGAAAAAAAATTCAAAGTGACATTTCACATACCACTCTCCAATCTTCACAAATCAGAAACAAAGGAGGGAAACTGAAATTCAGAAGGAAGTTAAGTAAAAATTCTCGCATTTCGCTCTGATCAAAACACTCAAAATTGCACAAATAACACAATTCCATAGAGCTCGAGTCTCTGAATTGGAATCAAAACCCTTGAACCCAATCCATCATGCCCACAACCCGAAATAGACTGCACCATAAAAACATAGCCTCAGGACAATGTAAAAATAGATGGTAAATACTCTAATTCCTTCTACCACTGGACATTGTAATACCTTCTACACATGATAAACCATTGAGGCAACATGATGCAGTTAGGTCTCCTTATGGGCCAAAGACCATGCAATTACTTTAATCTTGAGAGGCACATATTTGTATTGCAAATTATATTTTGAGCATCAAAGGGTGGCACATTAGGTTTATTAATAAGCTTATCAAAGAAAGACTTACAAGAGAGTACATCAGAAGAATAAATGGGTGAGTCAGTTGGTTTCAACTCCATAGTGTTTAATTGGAATTCTCATTTTTCTTTTTTGTTTTGTTGGTTAGTCCAAATTAACCATCCCATTTCATCATAATATCATCTTGTTTTTCTTTCCTTTTATGTCATTCCAGGGAGCATCTTTTGCAGAGGTAATACAAATGACTGATATCTTTGAGGGGAGTGTTATACGGCTCGCTAGAAGGCTGGATGAATTTCTGAACCAGGTTAGTAGGTCAAATTTGAAGAAGTTTTTTTTTCTTGTTATTTCTCAAAAAAGTAGAAAAGAAAAGAAGGGTTGAAGCCTAATTCAATTCTCTTGTTCTTTTGACCGAAATTTAGTATGGAATGCATGACTGCCTATTATTCCATAGACAATATCATTGATTTGGTTTACTTTCTATTTGGTCTCTTCTCTGAAGACCAGAAGCTTTATTTTTCAAACCTTACACAAAGTAGAGCATTGGAGTCAAGGAAATTGCTAAATCTACAGTCATTGTCATTGTCATTGTCATTGTATCTAATAGCAGTGTAGGAAAGAAGGGTATATTGTCTGTCAGAACACACAAACTCATTACATAGTTATGCTAAATAAAATAAAATAAACCCTAATTAGCCTAATGACTAAACTACCCTCACTACTAAAATGACAAACAATACATTTCACGCCCCCTCAAACTCATTTATGTGAATCTGATGAGTAATGCCAATTTGCCAATTAAGAACTGAAAGTGAGCAGAAGTGTGAGGCTTGGTGAAGAAATTGGCAAGCTGTAAGTAGGGGCAGAGTTGGGATTTATGTTAAGTGGGGGAAAACCTCACCTAGGACCACATGAGTTTTTAATTTTTTTTTTTTCCTATTTGAATATTAAAAATAAATAATCTTCAAATGGGGGCAAAACTAAAATTTTAGAACAGACAAGACTATCATTATAAATTTTCAAACTACAAATAAAAATTAAAATGTTTCTCAAAATTTGTGTAGGCAAATTAAATATTTTTGAAGAGCAATTAACTGACAATTTTGGGAAGACGTTTGAAAGCCGTACAATATATATATATATATATCTTGGTAATTCAGATTTTATTAAAACAAAGATACCATACAAGCAAACTGAGGAATACCCCAATAAGACCCAACTTAGCTATTGACAGATGCCAAGCAACTTGTTAGGCAATCTCCACTCTAGCAACAGACTCTAGGGTAAAGGAACTTTGTAAACCTAAATGCACAATGTACATCATAAAAGAAGAGGATTAAGAATAGAGGACTTGCTTCTTGTTTTATGCACACATGCACATGCGTGTGTGCACACGCGTGCACACACACACACACACACACACACACATATATATATTATATTTTAAATTTAATTAGAGCACTGCTTATAAACCAAGCTACTTGAAAAGAAAAAAAAAATGACTTGAAAAGCATGAACCAGTAGAATTATGAGACCTTTAATGAAGCAATCATGGTCCAGAGAAGAACTTTAATAAGGTGTTCGAACTATTTGGATGATGGCGGTTGGTGAGTGTCCAGTTGATACCATGATTCCAAGCATCTATGTAGAATGGGATATCGGTATGGATATTGGTACGGGCACACCAATATGACAAAACCTTAAAGAAAATGACATAGATATGGCGATGATATAAGTAAAAAAATATAATTTATAATTTGAAGTAGTGAATTATATATATACAATTAGAAAACCAAATGCAAAAATTAATTAACTTAGTTGATTGAAGATCGTACCTAGAAAACAAAGCTTAATGCCAGAAACAAGGTTGAAGCCAAATTTTAATGTCATTATGTTAGAGAACTTACGAACAAAAATTTAATTTTAAAAGCATGCTAAGCAACAAAGAATGGTTGGTTGAGTTTTCAGAATTTATATTTTGAAAAACTTCAAAATTAGTTTGGTAAAACAAATGAAAAGTTCACTCATTATTTTCATATGATTATCTATTTTGGGCTGGAAATAATTTTTAAAATTTTTAAATCTCTTTTTTGGTGTTTATTTTTATCAAACTAGTTTCTAATTTTCAAAAACAAAAATAAAAAATAAAAAATAAAAAATAAATTCAGGAAAACAGTTCAGAAAACTCAACCAAACAAAGCCAATCTCCGAATACAAGAATATTTTATTTTGGTAGTCATACTTCAAAACAAGTTTGTAGTTGGAACTTGCTGTACTCCAGAGATACCTACTAATACATACCCAATATGTAAAAAAAGGGATACATGTTTCTGTATTGTAGGCTACCATGCGAAATACTAGTACCCAATACGTGTATAAAATCTATTTTAAAGTACCCATGCTTCATAGGCAAGCATAGTGTAAAAAAAAATCTTGTATTGTCTGTAAGAAAACACAAACTCATTACATAGTTAAGTAAAATAAAACAAACCCTAATAAGCCTAATGACCAAAATACCCTCACGACTAAAATACCATAAACTACATTTCAGATTTCACAGTATCCACTGAAGTCCCTTGTTTGTTTATACAGCCTCTAAGGTGTTGATATAGCTGTTTCCTTTGCATACTGTCAACTTCTTGAAAAGGAAATACGACATTATGACAGTTTGTTAAATTGTTAGTACATTTAATATCCGGGCTTTACAGTTGTGTGCTGCTGCTCATGCTGTGGGGGAAGCTGATTTGGAGAAGAAGTTTGCAGCGGCTAGTGAAAGCCTTCGTCGAGGTATTATGTTTGCCAATTCCTTGTATTTGTAGAGTGTCTTGTGCAGATCGTGCTGTTATGTTTTGCAGCAGTCACGTTTCTGCCAACGGTGTTGTCATTCGCAGTTGCAAATGTGCAGTTAGTTTCTTAGACATGTTAGATGTGATGAGTTGATATAGCAGTTGTTTCTTCTTATTTATTTGTTGACAGCTAGAGTTTTTTTAGTTTATTTTTTTATATATATTCCTCAACATGGTTATTGCTACTTATCTAAGTTAGCTTGTTGATCAATGCTGTACAAGTGCGAACTTACAAAACATTTTGATACAACAAGAATAAAAAAAAAAAACAAGAATTAAAAAAAAAAAAAAAGGAATGAAAGCAAAGAGTCAGCACAGAAGTGGTTGAACTCCTCAACTTCATTTTCCTTGCTACTTTCACCTTTTGTATTGTACCTTTTTGATTAGTTGCTGTGAATGTGAAGCATTTTCATTTGTAGGCAGTTGGATTCTCCCATATGCATTGTTTAGATTTAGCAAAGGAATTGGGATATTTTTAGGGCTTACTTCGCTAAAAAAACTGGTGCAGAGTTGATTTGAGGAAACTGTATTGTATCTTCTTAAATCATTCAAAGGATTGGTTGCATGATTTAATCAGGCTTCTGGGATGAACGTAGTTTCCTTGAGTCTAAATTTCTGTAGTGCCAAATTAATTCTCTACAGTGGCCTATTTATGTTGCTTTATGTTTGCACTTTTGGCAAAAATTTCAATGCTAAGTACTATTCCTTGTGTTGAAACTGTGGGGTAACATCATGCGGGGGGGTAGGATTGAGTTTGTGAGGTTGCTGCTAGGAGCATTACCTCAAATTTTAATAAGTTGTGCAAATTAGCTGTCTGAGTTTCGCTCCACATTTCATCCAACTTTAGACCCTCATGAGTTCTTGGTCAATTTTAGAATTCCAGAGTAGAAGACTTTGTAGAACTACAGCACTTTTTTTTTTTTTTTTTTCCTGTATTTATATTTTTAGAAATCTTGAAGGTTTTGCACTGCATTTATTTTTTCAAACAGAGGATTGATGAGAAAAAGGCTTCCTATGGTATTTTATATATATATTTTTTCATTTTAACTTTTTGAGATACTTGGCTTCTTAGGACTAATGAAGTGAATTTTGTACCTAATGACAATCTATTATAATTTATTTTTATTTGTCTTTTGGATGGTGCACACTACGACAATTACATTGATTGGTAGATGTGATTAAATTACATTTGCTCATTTAGCTTCCAATATCGAGGCTTTTTCCAAACTAGGCCTACCTACTAATTTATTTTCCAAACTAAGCCTAGTTTGGCCGAATTTTTCAGAATAAACTGAAGCGTGTTTACAAAACACGCTTTCAGCATGTTTCTGGCTCAGGCGGACAAAATAAGCAATATTCTAAAAACGTGGTTACTAAACACGACTTTAATTAAGAAAGCGCTTTTGCTATTAGCGTTTTCAGGCTTAAAAGTGCTTTCAATAGAAGCGTGATTTGGAAACACGCTTTCTGTTGAAAGCATGATTTAAATAGAAGCGTGATTTGTAATCACACTTTTAAAGAAATATTGGTCAGTCCAGCATCTGAAATTAGTAAAAAATTGTTTTTTTTTTATTATTATTATTATTATTGTTTTGATTGATTTCTCTTCAATCCACATTTTATAATTAACTCAGTTATCTTTTATATAAATTATTCATATAAAATATTATATTGATAAACAATCTCAGCTATCAAAATTTATTATTTTAATTTTAAAAATAAATTATCTAATTTTAAAATTATATTTCTCATCCATTATTTTTTTTTAAAAAAATAATAAAATTATATATACGATTAATTTATATAAGAGAGGGAGTAGAGATCAACAGAGAGAGGGAGAACTGGTTCGGCCTTTGGGGGAAAAGAAAGAAGTGTTTAAAAATGTGGTTGCAAATGATGGGGGGTGGGGCATTTTATATCTGTATGTTAAAAGCGTGGTTATTAATCATGCTTTCTTTTAAAGCAAATATTTTTTTAAAAGCATGGTTACGAACTACACTTTCCTTAAAAGCGTGATTAGAAATCGCGCTTTCTTAATTAAAGTTGTGTTTTGTAATCACGTTTTAGGATTTTACTTATTTTGTCTGCCTGGGCCAGAAACATGCTGAAAACGTGTTTTGTAAATACGCTTCAGCTTATTTTGGGAAATTTGGCCAAACTAGATTTAGTTTGAGAAATAACTTAATACCCACGCCTAGTTTGGGAAAAGCCTCCCCAATATCAATTCAATTTCAGTTACTTTGCGCTGCTGTGGACGTCAATTGTGGAGTGTAGTGGTGTACATGATTGATTGTTTAAAATCCATATCCTTAATAATGCAAAAATGGTAGTATAGGAGCATATATATGGGCGTTGTACCTCCGAGACTAAATTATGAAGTGCTAATCATAGGCGTAGATTCTCAATTACATTGGGTGAAAAGAATTATGTGATTTGATTCAATGAGCCAGAACTAAAGTAAATAATGTAAAGCAAAATCAAATTGATGTGAAATTCAATGTTAGGAATCGTTTACGGTATCTAAATCACCGAGCTATGACCTTTTCTTTTTTGAACATGAAAAAAGGGGTGCTCCTTGGAGGCAGCATTGCAATTCCTAGGTTATGGTATTATGAGTCCAGATCCCCTCATTGAGCCCCCTCCTTCATTCCCTCCTTGCAGGGGCCTTCGGGTCCACTTTGAGGCCCAATTATAATTAACTCAGTTATCTTTTATATAAATTATTTATATAAAAGATCATATTGATCAACAATCTCAGCTATCAAAATTTATTATTTTAATTTTAAAATTATATTTCTCATCCATTATTTTTTTTTTAAAAAAATGATAAAATTATATATACGATTATCAGATCAATTTGATAATTTATATAAGAGAGGGAGCAGAGATCAAGAGATCAACAGAGAGAGGGAGAACTGGTTCTGCCTTTCGGGGAAAAGAAAGAAGTGTTTAAAAATGTGGTTGCAAATGATGGGGGGTGGGCCATTTTATATGGCTTTCTGTTAAAAGCGTGGTTATTAATCACGCTTTCTTTTAAAGCAAATATTTTTTTAAAAGCGTGGTTACGAACCACACTTTCTTTAAAAGCGTGATTAGAAATTGCGCTTTCTTAATTAAAGTTGTGTTTTGTAATCACGTTTTAGGATTTTAGTTATTTTGTTTGCCTGGGCCAGAAACATGCTGAAGGCGTGTTTTGTAAATACGCTTCAGCTTATTCTGGGAAATTCGGCCAAACTAGGTTTAGTTTGAGAAATAAATTAATACATAGGCCTAGTTTGGGAAAAGCCTCCCCAATATCAATTCAATTTCATTTACTTTGCGCTGCTGTGGACGTCAATTGTGGAGTGTAGTGGTGTACATGATTTGATTGTTTAAAATCCAAATACTTAATAATGCAAAAATGGTAGTATAGTAGCATATATATGGGCGTTGTACCTCCGAGACTAAATTATGAACTGCTAATCATAGGCGTAGATTCTCAATTACATTGGGAGAAAAGAATTATGTGATTTGATTCAATGAGCCAGAACTAAAGTAAATAATGTAAAGCAAAATCAAATTGATGTGAAATTCAATGTTAGGAATCGTTTACGGTATCTAAATCACCGAGCTATGACCTTTTCTTTTTTGAACATGAAAAAATGGGTGCTCCTTGGACAATTCCTAGGTTATGGTATTATGGCCAGATTTATCCTAACTTAAAAGGAGGGGATCCAATCACTGAGATAAGCGGGGGTTGCACTAATTCTTAACACAGGAGACAGAGTCACGAGCGCAGTATAATATGGTCAGTTTCACCAAATAAATGGGACGTTAGTCGAGCCCTCCAAGAATTGAGTCATGTTCACCAGTGTGGAAGGCTATGTTCTTTACATGCCATCACCACCTCTGTTGGTCCAAACTATGACTGACAATTGAATCCACCAAATTATGACTTGCACACTATCGGGATTTGATTAATTAACACAATCTTGGTGTGTTGACGATGTCAAAAAGTTTCATGTAGTTGACGATGTTGTGTAACTTGTTTTAGATGAGAACAAAATGGTTTTCAAGAAAGTTTAAACACGACTCATCGTGTCTAGGCATGGGTTATCTCAATTCTTAATTGTATGTGCAAGCAAGACCCTTGTATAATAATTTATTTACAAGAATCAAATACATCAAACATAGTAGGAATAATTGATTTCATTATATAAAAATATTGAACCAATGTTATATAATCTTTGTATTAATCATCAAACCCAAAACTCAATGATGAACCTCTTTGGAATCTCTTTTGGTTTCTTTGGAGTTGTCTCTACCAGTCTCTGGAAGTATTATTCAAAAATCGAAATCAATTTGCTTTATAAAAAGAAAATATCAATAAGACGGTTTTACGAGATTTTAGCAAATTGTCGGGATCGTGGAATATGACTGAGAAATAATACTAGAGAAGCTTTCAATTATGAATCGGGGCAATGGGTGATGCTTGGTTACAAGTCTTTGAAGAATAAATTTACGATCATTCAAGTTTCCGTTGGGTTTGATTTTTGTCTTTGAGGGTTTGTTAATATTTGCGTTTTTCCATTTTACCCTTTGGTTTGTTCTATTTATTAATGATGGCTTGTACTTTAGTTTTTCTATTTTGCCCTTTTCTTTTGTATTATTTATCAATGTTGGTGAGATTAGTTTGGATGAAGGGTTTTTCATAAATATGTAAAGAATCTCGGTCAGTTATGAAACATGAATGTTTGATTTTGGGATAAATTATAAATACACCCTTACGCTTCGTTTGTTTGGTCAAAAAATATTTTCTAATGCAAAACATTTTCTATGGAATTTTTTTTTTCTAGAAAATATTAATTTTCTAAGTTGAAAAATAAAAATATTAATAAAAATTGTAGATAATTTAATATATTATGAATAATAATTTATATTTAATGAGAATTATATTATATAAGATAGAAAATAAATGAATAAAAATTAATATTAAATATAATATTTTAGTGTTTTAACTTTATTATAATAAAAAATAGATATATATATTATACATATAAACATATTTAATAAATATAATCGAGGCGGGGTTCGAGTAGAATGGATAGGGGAAGCAAAACCTGTCCCCGCCCCACTTCTTAATCGGGGTGGGAAAAATCCGTGCAGGTGGGATGCGGGTGTGGAGTAGAGGCTGGAGAAAATGACTTATCCCTAGGTGCAACGAAAGTAAAAATCCATGCAAGTAGGATGCGGGTGCGGAGTAGAGGCGGGAGAAAATGATTTATCCCTA